TCCTCGCCAAGAACGAGATCTCGAATCTGATCAAAGGTGAATCCATCGGGTCCCACTGAACCGGTAACTGCTGTAACCGTTCCGGACCAACTATCAGGTAAAGACGATAGCAGTAGTAAAGCTTGAACTTCATCATCGAACTTAATGCCCACTGACAATAGTCTGGCTAAGATCGAATTCAACTTGTTGATATGCTCGGTAACTGAAGTGCCTTCTTTCATTTTTGTGTTCACCAGCTCTCTTATCAGAAAAACTTTGTTCGCAGCAGATGGCTTCTCATACATGTTAGACAGCGCATCCATAATTCCCTTCACTGTCTTCTCCTTCAGAATGTTGAACGCAACATTCTTGGTCAACGAGAGGCGGATCACGGACATAGCTTTCCGATCCAAATCTACCCAATCTGCATCCGACATCTTTTCTAGCTTGTCACCCAATACCACGTCCAAATCTTTCTGAACCAGCAAATCTTCAATTTGCATCTTCCACCAACTGAAATTTGTACCATCGAACTTCTCAATTCAGAACTTTCCATCTTCTGCCATCTCAAACGACTAGACGAGATACCCGGTACAACTAATTTCAGATCTTGGTATTTTTCCGTCAGAAAATTAGGCCCACCACACCAATTAAATTAGTCCAAACCAATAATCCAATTGAGCCCAAAACAAAAACTCACACGGCCCAACTTTTTTTCTCTTCTTCGGTCCAGCAAAAAAACCATCTTTTTTTCCTTCAAGCTTTTTTTTTGTTTTGCTTTTGTCCCTTTTTTGGTTTTCTTTTTTTTCCGGTGAAGGTGTGAACAGGACGGCGGCGACGTCTTCCTCGAACCAGCAGCGCGACTAAGGGCGGCGGTTCAGAATCTGTTATCGATGGCGGCGGCGGCTCCATCTGCCGCTGCTCCTGCGTGCGGCGGTCGGTACGCAAACGGCGGCGACGATCCTCGCGGCAACGGCGACGACGATCCTCACGGCAACGAAGGTAAGACCCAGCGGCGACGATCTGATCTAACGGAGGCGGCGCGATCTGAAACGGCGTGGCTTCGCGGCGGCTCCTCAACCTGGCTGCGGCTCTGCGGCTGGACTGCCTTCTGCACGGCCTCGCGATCCAAGAGGTCGACGGCGGCGCTAGAAGGGATGCAGCGGCGGCTCGCAAACGGTGGCAAACACCTGCGCAGATCTCCCCTTCTCGAACAGGCGGCGCTACACTCCTTCACAGCGGATTCGCAGCGGCTCCTATTTTTTCTTCAGGAGCACGATCCAGCCTTCAGATCTGCAAAACCTTAGGTAACAACTCGCAATTTGTGTTCGTGTTGAACAACAATCTAGCTTTGATACCACTTGTAGGGAATTAAACACACAACACACACAAATAATCTGCGAGAAACGAGAGAAAACGGAACACAAACGACACACAAGAATTTAACGTGGTTCAGTTTCCCTAATCCACGGCTGCAACAAGAGGATTTTCTTATTTCACTTGAGGTGCCGATTACAAGTACAAGTATGCAATATATATAGGAAGAGTGCATCTAGGGTTTCGTAACATGGGTCGGGCCAAAAGTCAAGACCAAGCCTCCACAAACCCAACATTAACCACTAATTTTTTTGAAGGAACTAAACACTAAAGTTTAAAATTTCTAATAATAAAAACTATTTTTTCAATTTAATTTTAATTTTGTGTCCCAAAGCTGTAAGCCTATAACGTCTCAAAACCCGCCTTAGAATTTTAACTAATTTAAATAAATAAATAATTAATTACTGATCCAGACTAGAATATGGCTAATTTTGGAATTTCCCTTTTTGTGACAAGTTATCCGATGTTGTAGGTTTTGATGTTCTGAAACTAATCACGCAAACAAATGATGAATAAAATAAGAAACAAAATAATACAAAAACAAAAATGATTATCATTTTTGGACATCTCAATTTTAAGAATATTTTTAGGCGTGTTCCAAAATTGTTTTTTGTAGAAGACTCTTTTTTTCGTATTTTAATTTTTTCATTTCGTTTTTCCATATTTTTAATTTGGGTTTTCTTTTTGAACTTTCCAAAAAATTATTCTATGTAAAAAAAAGTGAAAATGTTTAATTTGAGATAGATGTAATGTATGTTAATTTTTTTTATTACTTCAAACACAAAGAATTTTAAAAAATTTTAAAACATTATAAAAAATTAAAAAGAAATTTAAAAAAAAATCTATTAGGCCTATGAATAACGGATAAGTAATTGCACCCAAACTAATCCTAATTGAAGTAAGAAAATGTTATTGGCCCCTAACTGTATAACTGTATTATTCTTTTCCGCCCCAATCACCGATTTTTCCTTCCGTTCTTCTCTGCCGAGCGATAAACCAGAGAGGAAGACTCTCTTTGATTCTTCCGTCGTCATTATTGCTGGACATCGCTGCCATCATAAGTCGCCGTCCTCTTCGTTCTTCCGTTCTCGCTCTTCGTGCAGCAACGCCGGCGGAATTTGTAACGGCGGTTCTACAACCCTAATTTCAATTCCCTCGATTATCAAAGCGAGTTATGTTCATATGTCTATCCTTAGCGTCAATTTGTAGATTAGAATCGTATTTGTGTAGATCGTGCAATTCATTGTGGAATTGGGTCAATTAGATGTCCAATTGATTGGGGATTATGTTGGGTTGGATTTTCCGGCGAAACCCTTGCGGGTTGCGGATGGACTGGCGGCAGTGGGTCGGTTGGTTTTGGAATACTACTGGGTAGTTTGAATTGAGCCCAAATTGGTACAATTGGGCTTAATTAGGTTCAATCTGGTCCAATTAGGTCTGTTTAGGTGTAATTGAGTCTGCTTGGGTTACCTTGGTGCTGTCTGAGATTCCAATTGGTTGTAATTGGGCTGATTTAGGTTTAATTGTATGTAAATGAGTTGATCTGGAATTAATTAGATGCTGTTGGGTTGTAATTGGATATATTTGGATTGAGTTGTGGTTGATGGGTGACTGTTGGGTGATTTTGGCCCGATTTGGCGAGTTGGGTCGGCAGCCCCGGGTGGCAACAGGGCTGCCCAGTAGTGGACAGTCGCCCGGTTGGGGTATGCACTGTTTGGTTGGTCCGGCAGGTTGCCGGGCTGATCCGGTAGCTATTGTACTGTTCTGCGAGTTGAGGTGTTATAGAATAGGATCGGAGCATGAAGAAACCAAAGAGAGACTCTAGAATTTAGAAGATATAGTATCATTGCTTTTAAAGAAAATGGTTAGTCTCTATTTATCATTGTTAGTATCATTGTTAGTTTCCATATTTCATTTGATTATTTTTTAGTTTATTATATAGTTTAAAGTTATGCTACCTAGCATGAATGTAGGGTAAATTTAGTGTAATATTCGTATTTAGGTTATCATGTGCTTATAATTTTTTTTATTTTTTATTGGGTTCTAACGGCTAATCAATCCAAATTCGATGACCTTACGTTATCATGTGCTTATAATTTTTTATTTTGCATAGGGTTCAACGGCTAATCAATCTGAAATTGATGACTCTACAATAGATGGTAATACAACCACCGAGAAAAGTCATGACAAGGATTGATGGAATAAAGATGATGAAGCTGAGAGCGATAAACTTGAAGATGTAGACAATGACGAACATTAAAGCTTTGGACTATATCTTCCATATCAATGCGTATTTTAATTTAGTTCACTTTGACGGTTTATACTTTAGTTTGAAACGTACGCAAATGATGAACTAATTTTGAGATGTTGGTTTACTTTCTATTAAATGGGTTACTTGTAACGCTTTGAAATGTTATCGTATTATGTATTGTTGTTAATACAAGTATAAGTATTATTTTTTTTATCAATGAAATTCTTTGTTATCAATTAAATAGAGCATGCGAGTGTGAAACGTGGTATTAGTAATAATTATAATAAATGTTAATATTGGTCAAAATAAACTATTACCGACTGAAAAAAATGTTTTACTCACACATTTTTTTTGTGGGTAATCCAACTTTTAGCAACAGTTATAATGAATATTAATGTTGTTAAAAATAAGGTATTAACGAAAAAAAAGAAGGATTTACCTACACTATTTTTTGTCGGTAATTCATGTTTTAGCGACATATATGTTTTGTCGGTACTCTTCTCTTTTTTAGCGACATCTTTTGTTTGTCGCTATTACACTATTTTAGCGACAGTAAATTTTATCTGTCGGTAATACTTTTACTGACGGAGTTTTTAGCGACAGACAATTATCTATCGGTAAAAGCGAGTAGCGACAGATATGTTGGAAAACATTTTCACTTTGACAATGTTTGTTTCCATTTAGGTTTTGATATTGACAAACCGTCGGAAACATGGAACAAAATGAAAAGATTCAAAGAGATAGAAAAAGTTCTTTGAAGAAACAAAAAACACAAGAAAGGCATTGACGCTGCTAAAGATGGCGACATTGGCGTTTTGAAGACGTATTCTAAAAACTTAGGTTTTATTGTAACAAGCTCATTCAATTTCTCTACGTCATTGCTCAAAACAAAATATGTTTTTCATGCATCAAATGAGTGTTTTCATAAATGGTTTTTAAGTTTCTAAAACCCATGGTTCTTGCTTAACCAAAACCATAACCATCGGTTATCGGCGTTCGGCTATGGCATTGGTTATTGGCATTGATTTTAACCAAATGGTTTTTGGGTTTTTATCTTTGGTTTATGCTTCTGGACACATTTAAAGGTTTTAGAAATGATTAGTTTTCAAAAACCATAACCTCTGTTTTTCGGCATTGGTTATCAGCTTTCGGCGCCGGTTATCGGTGTTGGTTTTTGGCACCCTAATCAATCAAGTGGTTTTTAATATTTTATGATTGGTTTTTACTTCTGTACATATCAAAATGGTTTTCCAACAAAAACATGTTAAAAACCACCTTTCGTTTTTGGTCTTTTGGTGAAAACCATGTGAAACGGCATAAACTTGGCTAGCCGTGATTTTTACCTTAATGAAGTGGTTTTTAAGGTTTTATACTTGGTTTCTACATTAAATACATTATATAAGAGTTTCCAACACTTGATTTTCATTTTGGAGAACTTTGGTTTTTGACATCGGTTTTCGGCGTTGGCTGCCAAACCATGGTTCTGGCAAACCATCCCAACATGCATGTTGGAAATCCCAACAGCGATGTTAGCCTTCAGAAGCCCTGGGCAGTAAGTTTTTGAACAGCGATGTTCATGGTTGAACAGCGCTGTTTTCAAATGACCGTTGGGCTATTTAAGACAAAATCTTTCCATTTTTGAAAGTCAAACACCCCAACATCGATGTAGACTTCTAGACATCGATGTTTTGATGACCGTTAGCCATTTTTAAAGGAAATTCAAAGCCAAAACAGCGATGTTCCTATATGAACAGCGCTGTCGGGCTAGATTTCAGCAGATCCACTTTTATTTGATTTCCACAAATCAAGCCAATCAACCCCAATCTTCTCCCAACCGTTGCACCTTGTTTTTGGGTATAAAAAGGGGTCTTTTGGGTCTACTTTTCACAACCATTCCTCACACATTTTATAGCTTTACATTGCATCATTCCATAAGCTTTTTACATAGCTTTTTAGAGCCATTTCTTGAGGAATTGAGTGTGTTATTGATCTAAATTAGTTTACTCATATTCTACTCTTTAAGAGAGTTTTTGTACTTGAGTGGTTAAGTGTTGTGAATACTTTAAGGGAGGTTTGTTCCCTTGTTTGTACGAAGGAAGGGCATATTCCTTCGGGTTGAAGTCTTGGAGTGCGGTATCTCCGAGCAAGTGTATTGAGGCTCGTGGGACTCGAGTTCTCAGGTTGTAACGGTTTGTTAAGCACCCGTAAGCTTAACGGAAGTAGTGTAGCTCGAGAGAGTCTCTCGGGAGACTGGATTAGCCACACGTTGTGGTGAACCAGTATAAATATTGCTGTGCTCCCTTTACTCCTTTTTATTCTACGCTCTTTACTTTATCCCTACGATTTCTATTCCGCGAAAATTTATAAACATTCTCGTGCCTCACTATTCACCCCCCTCTAGTGAAAGGCACTTATTCTAACAATTGGTATCAGAGCCTGGTTCTCTAAAAGCCTTAACGGGTTGAGAGAACGATCTATATTTCTTTTGAGAATGTTAAGCGCATGATCTTTTAGCGAAGGACACTCCTTAACAAGGCCACCACTCTTTAATGGAGTAAATTACTCTTATTGGAAAGATAGAATGAGAATCTTCATTCAATCCGTTGATTACACACTATGGATGGCAATCAACAATGGAGTTTCTCTCCCAACGAAGAAGGTGGGCAAGCAAAAAGTAAAGAAACTCGAGGAGGAATACAATGAAGAAGATATAAAGAAGGTGGAACAAGATGCAAAAGCTCTTAACCTTCTACTTTGTGCAATTGACGCACAAGAAATTCAAAAGTTATCCGGATATCAAACGACTAAGAATCTATGGGATGGCATGCGTGAGAAATACGAAACTCTACAAGGAGAAAAAGAAGTAACCCATATTTGTCTCGTGCCTCACTATTCACCCCCCCTCTAGTGAAAGGCACTTATTCTAACAAGATATTCAACCTTAGCGACATATTGACCCGTGTCGGTATTGCCTCCTTTTTTTGTAGTGACCGTTTTTACCCTGGTTCACCACAACTTGTGGCTAATCCAGCCTCCCGAGAGGCTCTCTCGAGCTACACTAACAACGTTAAGCTTAACGGTGCTTAACAAACCCGTACAACTTGAGAGTTCGAGTCACACGAACCTCAATGAACCTTCGAAGGAAACAACCCTTCCTTCGAACAACAAGAGAAATATTTTCTCTTGTCAAGTGTCTAGGAAAACTAAAACACTCAAGAAAAATACTCTCTTTTAGAGTGGATAATGAGTAACTAAGAACGCTGAATAACACAACACAAGCTTCACAAAAAATGGCTCTCAAAAAGCTATGAATAATGGATGAATGATTTGCAATGAAAGAGTAGCCAAGTTTACGCCGTTTCGCATGGTTTTCACTAAACGACTAAAAACAAAAGGTGGTTTTTGAAGCATTTTTGTTGGAGAACTATTTAAATATGCCCAAAAGTAAAAAAAAATCATAAAATGTTGAAAACCACTTGGTTGGTTCGGACGCCAAAAACCAACCCCGATAACCGAATGCCGAACGCCGGATGGCTTGGTTTTCGGTTTGGGCAAACACCAAGTGTTTTAGGCTTGTTTTCAAAAAAAACTTATGAAAAACATTTTTGAATATGCAAAAGATTATTTTAATGAAGCGAGCCTAGAGAGCCAAGTTTTGAAGTTTGTGCCGGTCTTGATCACATTAAGACCGACTCAATAAATTCTAAGTCTTCGTTCTTGGTTCTTGGTTCTTGATTATCAATTCGTCATGCCATGTTCCTTCACCTTTGATTTTCCTATTTTAATCTTGTTGTCACGGCGGTTTGGCATTATCAAAACATGTCATAAAACGAACACGGTTTAGTACGACATAAGCGTAAACCCGTGTTCCAACATCTGGCCTTTTTCCAAGAGAAACAATTTCTTGTTTAAGTTGATCATTTATATTTTTGAGTTCTTTGATATCATTCTCAAAAATCACAATTTTATGTTTAACTTCTTTATTTTATTTTGAGGGCTTCTTAAACATTCCTACAAGTTCTTCTACAATGCAAAGAACATCACTTAAAGTTAAGGGATCATCTGTGAAAGGTTCTTGATCACTTACCTCCTTGGATGCTTGATCTTCTTCAATGGCTATGAGGCAAAGGTTGGCCATCTCCTCCGCTTCGGAATCTTCACTCCTGGAGCCATCGTTCCTTAAGAGATGTAGGCACGTTACTTCTTCGGTGCCTTCTTGTCCTTCTCGTACTTGAGCTTGGGGCACATTAGCTTAATGTGTCCAATTTCACCACACCCATAGCACTTGAGTGGAGTGTTCTTCTTGGCTCCCTTCTTGTTCATCATCTTCTTGAATCTCCAGACGAAGAGTCCGATGTCGGTGCCATCGCTATCATCATCTTCGTCGTCGACGTTGTTGCGGGAAGAGCAATGCTTCTCTTGTTCTTCTCTTCAACCACTTTTGAAAATTGAGTGGTTTCGTAGGTAATGAGATTACCTCGAATAGAGTCCTAAGTCATTGTTTGGAAGTCGCGCCCTTCCTCAATTGCGTCCACCTTTGAACGCCACTTGGGTGATAAGCTCCGCAACACCTTCCTTACAAGTTCTCGGTCGGTGTAGACTTTTCCGAGAAGGTTGAGAGGATTGATGATGTTGGAGAATCTCTCGAACATCTCTTCCACCTTCTCGTTCTCCTTCATTGAGAACAACTCGTACTCGTGGGTGAGTTGGTCTATTTTAGCCTCCCGAACTTGGGTGGTTCCTTCGAAGGTGACTTCCAACTTCTCCCACATTTGCATTGCAGTTTCACACTGCGAGATCTTCCGGTAGTCATCTACATTCACTCCACAATAAATTATGTTTATTGCCATGGCATTGAGCTCCATCTTCTTGAAGTCGTTCTCGTCGAACTCTTCTTTGGTTTTGGGAAGGTAGACTCCATCGACCTCCTTCATTAGAATCCCGCAGCCGTTCTTCACAATCAACCACAGCTTGTAGTCGTTGAATTGGATGAAGATTCTCATCCTCTCCTTCCAATACGAGTAGTTTGTTCCATCAAACAAAGGTGGCATCGTGGTTGATTGTCCCTCGGTAACTCCTGCGTTGAACATTCTTGATGCATTTGATCTTTTAGTTCCTGAAAATATAACGTATTCGAAGAACTTCCTGCTCTGATACAAATTGTTAGACAAATGTGCAACTCAAGAGGTGGGTGAATAGAGTTGTTTACAAGAATGTGCATTTTTCATGTGTGTGAAATAAAAATCGAAGGAATAAATATAAAGAGTAAGGGAAGGAAGTACACCAAGATTTATACTGGTTCACCACATCGTGGCTAATCCAGTCCTCAGAGAGACTCTCTCAAAGGTCCTACTAATCTTCAAGCTTCAACGGGTGCTTGAAAAACTGGTACAACTTGAGAACTTGAGTCACACACGCCTCACTTTCTTACAACACCAAGACTTGAGTCACATAAGTCTTAAGAACAACAACTCAAACAAGATGAGTTTAAGAACACAAGAAATGAAGCTCACAAATAAGCAAGAAGTGTTTAAAGTGTAAGCTCTATGAATGACAATATCTTTGCACTCAAGAATATATATATATATATATATATATATATATATATATATATATATATATATATATATAAATATATATATTTTATATATATATATATATATATATATATTATATATATATATAAATATATATATATATATAGCTCTCAAAATAGTGTTTGATTATCAAGAGATGGAGCAAGAATCAAAAGTAATCAATGAGAGGATTGAAGTGCTTGTATTGTGTATAGAATGAAGGTGGAAGAGGGATTATATAGATGAAAAATGTATATGTCCGTTGGGGCAAAAAATAGGCTACGTATGAGATGCAATGGACAAAAAATCAATTTTTACATAAGGGGGAAAATCGATTAGGTGCTGCTGAGTGAAATTTCATCTGCGCAATAGGTAGCTAATCGATTAAATAAAGAAGACTTTAATCGATTTTTCCAGTAATCGATTTCACCAAAGGTGATCTAATCGATTAAAAAACTGGGCGAGAGAACTCAATCTGCGAAAGAATAGAAATCGATTTTTGCACAAAGAGAAAATCGATTACTATTGCGAATTTGGCAGAGACAGCAAGAATCAATCAGTGGCGAGTTGATGAAGGACATTTGTCCGTATCTTGTTGTTCCCAACATGATTCGAGCACAAGAGGCTCCCAATGACATCTCCATTTATTTAAAAAAAATTGAAGAAATGGGATGCTTTGAGAGTTGGGGGTATAGAAATTGAGTCCAAAAAAAATTTTTGTGTGTCAAACGATGTCAAAACTATTTGGAGTAAAAGTAGTTTTACTTTCCAAAATTGTTTTCTAGTATCAAAAAGATTAATTTAAAATTATTTGACACTTTTTTTTAACTGACTCAATAATTTTATTTTTGAATCGCTAAAGGATTTTTCAACTGACTTTAAAAATAAATATAAATTTTTAATGTATATCCCTCAATAAAATAAACTTGTAAGAAAAAAAAGATATTTTGTCATCCTTACAAAATTTCCTAGACTCAAACAAATAAAAGTCTTCGGAAAACTTCTCTTCACTTCAAGATCTTGCGTAGGGATTTTGATACGTAGTCGTTGTGAATTTCTTGATGTATCTCTTTTGCTTTCTTGAACCGAAAAATAAATTTTCGTTCTTCGTTGCGTTTGTCATTTATCAAAACCTGAAAAATTAATTTTAAGAACAAAATATCTAAAGGGATTTGAACTCATGTCCAACACCTATTATACGTGTAATGTTCAGTTTGTGTTGTTCTCTTTTTAATTTTGTTTTCGGTTCTTAGTGATATTTATTGGGTTACCTTAGTTGGAAAAGTTGATTATCTTTAGAGCTTGTTTCCCCCATTTTATTAAAAAAAACCAAAAAAATAAAAATAAGAAGATATAAAAAATCAAAAAAAATATTAACTTTTCATCCAACGCCCCCATGTTAGCTTCATGTGTGTGCTATGATTTGTAGGAGTTGGCATTATTTTTGACAACACACAACCACTAGGGTAAAATAGATGTAGGTGTCCTTGTTTATGTTAATAGCACGTATTGGTCATTAGTCATCCTACTCGTATGTGGTGCAAACCTGCAGTAACAAGGACACTAGAGGAGTTATCGTTTATCTTCTCAAGTGGTGGATCGTTGTAGGACTTTTTTCCTCCCAACCCTCTGCATGCTCAAGGAGTCTTACTTGGCCATCGTATTTTACGAATCTGAGAAAGTTTACGGAAGACTTCTATGCGCAAAAGGTAAGGGTTGCAGCCTTAAGAAGTATATGTATATATCATGGGCTTCAGAGGATGGCACGGTGTAGAGAGAAAAAGATATAGGGTGCTAAAATAGAGAGAAGAGACTTTGCGGACTAATATTCCTACATCATAAAAAGAGAGAGAGAAGAAAGTTTTTCAGAATATACATCTATGAGATTTGTATGAGAAGATCATCCATGGATCTTCTCTAAATATTGTTCAGCTGTCGAAACTTTGTTGGCTGAGCAAAGGTCAGTGACACATCCTTCGTGCAGAGCAAGAAGAAGGTGTAATAGGCCTAGAGTGACACAAACCGAGTTTGGTGTCGGATCACTTAAGTAGACAAGTCAATTCAGTAGAAAGATCTTTTGAGATTGATTATGTAATTCTTATGTTGATATAGTGGAAAGGCTATTACACGGATGTGGGCCTCGCAGACGTAGGAGAGTGAGCTCCAAACTACGTAAACAAATCTTTGTGTCTCTACTTGTTTTTTGGTGTGTATGTTTGCAGTGGTGTTAGAAAAGGTGTTGTAGCATTCTGTGGTACTAACAGTTGAGCTACAACACAATTTCCAACAACATCCTGGTTGTGTTGCTTGTGAGTTTATTTAGTTAAAATACTAAGCTGTGCTTGTGGAAATATCAATTGGTATCAGAGCTCGCATAGCTTAAGTTATTAGCTATCGGTCACATCATGAGAGATATGGAACCTTCTTCCAATGTGCAGAGAGCACCTTTGCTGCGTGGACACAACTACAATTTTCGGAAGGGCAGGATGAGAGCATTTCTCAAATCTCTTGGAGGTGGTGTTTGGAGGAGTGTGGAAACAAGATGGACTGAACCTCGCAAATACTCCGAGGACCTGACCTCATCAACAATCAAGCCATTTGAAGAGTACAGCAGAACAGAATCTATTGCTGCTGAGTATAATGACAAAGCTCATCTCAAACTTTGGTTTAGTGGATTCTACCCTGTACAAGCTCATCTCAAACTGTAACAATGATAAATAAGCTTGGGACGTTCTCGAGGTCACACATGAAGGAGATGAGGAAGTGAAGACTGCCAAGTATCAAATCTTCATGAACCAATACGAAAATTTACGCATCGATGATATAGAAAAAATCACTGAATTCCATGGAAGAGTGAGGGATATTGAAAATCAAGCCGCACGTCTGAATGAGCCCATCCTTGAAAACAAGCTAGTTCTCAAGGTGCTAATGTAACTACCTAAGGAATATGACATGGACGTCAAAGCAATCAGACAGTCTCACAATATCAAGACCATGACCCTTGATGCACTTATGGGAATACTAGAAATGGCGTAAACCCGACATGGCAGAAGACAGTAAATGGCGTAAACTCGACAAGCAGATTGCATTTCCCAGCACTGAGGTAGAAGATGACAGTGAACATGAGTTGTCACTAGACAAAGATTTCCAGGAACAATTATCACTTTTCACACGGCAATTTAAGAAACAATGGGCTCAAAAGAAAGGAAACCAAAAATTGGAAGGAACGTCTAAGGGACCCTCTCCGAAAGACACCAAGTTTAGAGAGATGAGATACACAAGTAATCTTAGCTATACAAAGAAAAAGGGTCCAAAATGATTTGAATGTGGTGTATATGGACACATCCAGTCTGAATGTGCAAATAATATGAAGAAAAGGAGGCAAGCTTTCAAAGAAACCTGGAGTGATGAAGAAACTGAGGATCATAGTGATTATGAAGAATCCAACTGTGCGTTTGTTGTCTGTGTCACTTAAGATGAAGAGGATAGTCTTGCAGAGCAACTGGAGGACCTGCAAGAAATGTGGTCAGAACTCTTGATGGTGAACAAAAGGAAGATAGCACACAAAAACGGACTACTTTAAGAAGTTGATGCATTAAAGCAAAAGATTGAAGAATTTAACTGCAAGATCAAAGAACTAGAAGTGGAAAAGTCAAATTTACTCTTTGAAATAAAACAACTGAAGTCCTATCAAAAAGGATTAAGGTTGCTGGAGCAGATGTGCTAGATCATCATTCACTTATGGCAAAGCTTCCAAGAGACATGACCTGCATTGGATACACAGACACAAGAAAGACCTCAAAATCCCAAGAGATCAAGTTTGTCAGAGCAACCAAAGGAGCACCACCTGCAAACATTCACCAAGTCAAGAGAAACTCTCAGCACTTCTTTCGTAAGAACTATTACTACTCCTACAGGTGCTACAACTGTAAAGAATGCGAACATATACAAAGCCAGTGCATCAGAAGATGGAGCAGACAGATCTCACTAAAAAAGAAAAACAAACCGATCTGGATACCTAAAGAGTATGCCTTGGTTGCCAACATTTGTTAGCGAGTCACTCTAGATCAATTGCTTCTTGATAGCGGGTGTTCACATCACATGACAGGTGACAAAGAAAATCTCATGGATGTGAAACCAAATGAACAAGGGAGTGTTCGATTTGGTGGGGGAGCACAGAGCGAAAAATTCTGAAGCGTTACACTCAATGTAACAAGACCACCACCTATTAAAAATGTGTGGCTGGTTCAGGGTTTACAAGTAAATCTGCTCAGCATAAGCCAGATATGCGATCAAGGGCTCGAATTATTTTTCACACATCAAAAATGCAAAGTCGGAGACAAAAGCAAACAAGTGGTGCTTGAAGGTGACATAACAGCAGATAATTGTTACAAAGTAACACCAAACGTACTATGTTTCTCAGCAAGCGAAAAGGATGCGAAGTTGTCTGACTATCATCTAGGACATCTAAATTACAAAGATCTAGTCACATTATCTAATTCGGGAGCTATTAGGGGACTACCAAAAATCATCAAGAAGGAAGTGGAAATCTGGGGGCCATGCCAACAGGGAAAACAAATACGGAAAACTCATCCTGTCAAGATCATTCAATCAACAAAATATCCATTGGAGCTACTGCATATAGATCTGTTTAGACCCATGAAGATGGAGAGAATAGGAGGCAAGAGATTCGTACTCATGGTGGTTGATTACTACAAAAGATATACATGGGTATTCTTTTTGAGACCCAAGGATGACGCACTAGATGCCTTTGCCTCACTATGCAAAAAAGTATAGAACAAGAAGCAATCAAAAATAAAGAACGTCATACGAGTAAGAAGTGATCATGGAGGGGAGTTTGACAGTCAACCTTTCAGCAACTATTGTGACAAACAAGGAATCTCTCACGAATTCTCAACACCTAAAACCCCGCAGCAAAATGGGGTAACAGAAAGGAAAAACAGAAACGTGCAATAAATGGCAAAAACAATGATCCACACTCAATGACTACGTGAGAGTCTCTAGGCCGAAGTAGTACACACGACATGCTACACAATAAACCATTATACATAAGAAATGGGACACAAGCAACACCGTATGAATTGTGGAAAGGACAAACTACAAACGTTGGGCACTTTCATATTTTTGGAGCAAAATGTTATGTCCTTCGAGATTGAGAGCACAAAGTAAATTTGATGCCCAAAGTGATGAAGCCATATTTGTGGGCTACTCACCAAATAGCAAGGCGTTTAGAGTATTCAACAAATGCACCAGAAAAATAATGGAATCCATCAATGTCATTGTAGATTACAGAGCACTATGGAAAGATCATAGTGACACAAGAGATGATGAACCACCTGCTGTTCAGCAAACTGAAGAAAATTCAATACAATCAGACACAGAAGAGCAAACTAACGTAGAGCCTCAAGAAAGTCAACCTGAAGAGGTCCAAGTGCCCACACATATTCAGAAGAATCATCCTATTGAAAATGTTATTGGAAATCCACAAATAGACATGCGCACCAGGAAAAAGAAGATTGACTATGTTGAAATGATAAATGCCTTTTACACCTCATCAGTCGAACCAAAAAATGTAAAGGAGGCCTTGACTGATGAAGCATGGATAAATGCAATGCAAGAAGAGCTGGCACAATTTGAACGAAATCAGGTATGCGAACTAGTTCCAAAAGCTGAAGGTGTAAACATTATTGGTACCAAGTGGATCTATCGCAACAAAATTGATGAAGAAGGAAAAGTGGTTCGGAATAAAGCCAAACTAGTGGCACAGGGATATACACAAGTTGAAGGAGTTGACTTTGAAGAGACCTTCGCACCTGTTGCAAGGCTGGAATCAATCTGAGTACTTATCAGTATGGCATGTGTTTGGAATATGAAATTATATCAGATGGATGTGAAGACTACTTTTTTGAATGGATATATCAAAGAGGATGTCTATGTATCTCAGCCTAAGGGATTTGAAGACACAATACATCCAACACATGTTTATAAACTTTGCAAGGCACTCTACTGAAAGGTAAGCATGCAAGGATAGGCAGCGGAATATAAAAATTTTAACATCCTAACATGATTATCTTGCCCAGAATCACGTACTAAAACTTATAGTAGTAAGAAATTTATACCTTTCTCCGTAAGCAGTAAAAACGAAGAAGTCGTAGGAAGAGTGTTGAAAGTGCAAACGTAACCGTTCAAGCGTCCGGTCTCCAACTTTGACACACGAACAACGCTGGAATCTACCACAATCTTTATGCTAGTAAAGATTATAGTAGTATAAAATATAAAGATTAAAATTGGAATAATAATAATCTTGTATATTTCTTATAGAAAATACTTCTAATAATATTTTGAAAATATTATAGATATTTTCTATACACAAAATGATATTAATGGAACACTTAAAATAACATTTCTTCTCTCTAGAAAAATATGGCCGAATGACACACTTTTAAAAATCCACTACACAAATTGATAATCTTCTCACCTTTTTAAATTGCCATTACCGTGTATTAATTAAGTTGAAAACAAAACATTACAAAGTGATTAATCAAACTTTGTCATTTAGCTAAAGGATAAAATAACTAGCCACTTAATTATCAATCAAAGAAAACATTAGCAATTTGTCAACCCATTTTATCATATGGCCGAAAGTTTTGATTTGAGAAGGATATTTAAAATCCTTCTCCACTCAAATGTTCAAAGTATATTTCATTTGACATCAAAAAATTAATATAAAATTAATTTTAAATCAAATAAAATTACCAATATCATTTTAAACAAGTATACAAATATACTTTAAATAGTTTATGTCAAAATAATTATTTTCATAATTAAAATGAAAAATCAAAAAAAATATTCAACATATAATATATATATATATATATATATTCATCGACACATATATATAATATATATATATAATATATATAACCGAATATTTATATATATATATATATATAATATTAAATTCCAAAATATTTTATTTACTATTTTTACAAATTACTTATTATCCCATTGTTTAACCCTACTCCTAAAATTGTCCAAAGTGTGTGACCCGTATAGGCACTTATAAAGCTGGCCACAGTATTGGCTCTGCACCAATACTATAAGCAATAAGTGGTATCTAGCAACACATTATTGCCCCCAGCCCCTAGATTATAAGTTAAGACGTTTGCACCGTCAAAACCTTTCCACGACACAGACTCCGTGTAACTGTATCTCTATGTCTCAATGTCTAGACTTAATGCAAGGGATTAAAAAAACCAGCTTGTATCCATTAAGTCATTCACTGATTTATCAAGTCTGAGTAATAGGAACAGACATCATAAAAACATCTCAGCATGGCCATGCAATATCCTCAGTCATAACTTATCAGTGGGCCCCATAAGACATTAATCTCTTTAAAAAGAGTAGTGACAAATCCTATGTACGTAATCTACGTTTCTGAATACGTGCTGCGGCATACCCAAAACAAAGCCTGTATATCATCCTTATTTCTTATGGCTTAGGACAATGCATCAAAGCATGCGAGTTCACATATGCAGAAAACGTAATACTTCAAGTCGAAGGATAGTTACACCCGTGGTCGCGCTAAAGATGCTTAGAGCATGAACTAAAAGTTCAAGCAACATCTTTAGGATGGGTCAGTTGGGTCAGTCCGGCATCCTATTATCTCCAGATAATATCTGCCCACGTGCGGATGCGAACACACTGTCATTGACTATGAGACTAAGTCAGACATCCAACACACACTAGTCTCACATGCATTAACGATATCCCACTCTCGTTAATACTCGACTATGGACATTCTGATAAATATTTATTTCAAGATGTTAGTCTCATCAGCAGAAAAACACTATCTGATAAACATCTTTAAATATAAATCTAGGAATATAATATTTGTTTACATTAGCATGAGATGTGTAAACATATTATATTTTCCTACACGTGATAGGGTAATGATGAACAGTTGGCCATCAGGGCACAATTCCAACAATCTCCCACTTGCACTATGGCCAATCTGGCATCGGCCGAATGCCCATGGACCTAGTGTGACCCTCATGCTTTAGCTTTCCTAAAGGCTTGGTCAAGGGATCGGCTATGTTATCATCAGTATCTACTTTGCAAATCATCACATCTCCTCTATCTACGATTTCTCGTATGATGTGATAGCGTCGTACAATGTGTTTGATTTTCTAGTGAGATCGCGGTTTCTTTGCCTGTGCAATGGCCCCAGTGTTGTCACAAAACAACGAGATACTAGGAACCACTCCAAGTTCAGTAATGAACTTCTTGATCCAAACAGTTTCTTTAGCTGCCTCGGCGGCAGCTATGTACTCAGCCTCTGTAGTCGAATCGGCGGTTGTATCTTCCTTGAAGCTCTTCCACCTAAAAGCTCCGCCATTCAAGCAAAACAAATATCCTGCTTGTGATTTTAAGTCGTCTCTATCGGTTTGGAAGCTAGCATCAGTGTAACCGACCACCTTTAGCTCTTCCTCACCACCGTATACCAGGAATGCATCCTTAGTATTGCGAAGATACTTGAGGATGTTCTTGACTGCTGTCTAGTGTGCTTCTCCTGGACTTCCCTGGTATCTGCTGGTCACGATTAAAGCGAATGAGACATCAGGTCTAGTACATATCATGGCGTACATGATGGATCCAATTGCAGAAGCATATGGAACCTTCATCATGAGTTCCTTCTGCTCGGGAGTAGAAGGACTCTGGCTCTTGGAAAGAACCGTGCCACGTGTCATAGGTAAAGATCCTTTCTTTGAGTTAGACATGCTAAATCGATCAAGGATTTATCTATATACGTACTTTGATTCAGACCTATTACTTTCTTGATCTATCTCGGTAGATTCTTATGCCAAGGACATAACTAGCATCGCCTAAGTCTTTCATGGAGAAGTTCTCGCTCAACCACGTCTTTATAGAAGTGAGAGCGGGAATATCGTTACCCATTAACAATATGCCATCGACATATAAGATTAGGAATACTATTACCCTCCCACTGACCTTCTTGTATACACAAGATTCGTTAGAGTTCTTCTCGAAACCAAAACTTGAAATGGTTTCATCGAAATGAATGTACCAACTCCGAGATGCTTGTTTCAATCCGTAGATTGAACATTGCAACTTACAAACTTTGGCAGACTGACCAGCAATTTGAAAACCGTCAGGCTGTGTCATGAAGACATCCTCTTTGAGGTCCCCGTTAAGAAAAGCCGTCTTAACGTCCAATTGCCAAATTTCGTAATCGTAATAGGCTGCAATCGCAAACATTATCCGAATGGATTTTAGCATAACAACTGTAGAAAAGGTATCATCATAGTCAATTCCATGGATTTGCCTATAACCTTTTGCTACCAATCGAGCTTTGAAGGTATGAACCTTCCCGTCTACGTCTGTCTTCTTTTTGAAGACCCACTTGCGTCCAATGGGTTTTACCCCTTCTGGCGCATCAACCAAGGTCCAGACATGGTTTGTGTACATAGACTCCATTTCAGATTTCATGGCTTCGAGCCGTAGATCGGATTCGGGGCATATAACTGCCTCGAGATAGGTCTCTAGTGTTAGAATAAGTGCCCTTCACTAGAGGGGGGTAAATAGTGAGGCACGAGAATGTTTATAAATTTTCGCGGAATAAAAATCGCAAGGATAAAGTAAAGAGTGGAATAAAAAGCGTAAGGAGAGAACACACCGATTTTACCCTGGTTCACCACAACGTGTGGCTAGTCCAGCCTCCCGAGAGACTCTCTCGAGCTACACTATCAACGTTAAGCTTACGGGTGCTTAACAAACCGTTACAACCTGAGAAGTCGAGTCCCACGAGCCTCAATACACTTGCTCGGAGATACCGCACTCCCAGACTTGAACCCGAAGGAATATGCCCTTCCTTCGTACAACCAAGGGAACAAACCTCCCTTAAAGTGTTCACAACACTTAACCACTCAAGAACAAAAATTCTCTTAAAGAGTAGAATATAAGCAAACTAATTTAGATCTAGAACACACTCAATTCCTCAAGAAATGGCTCTAAAAAGCTATGTAAAAAGTTTATGGAATGATGCAATGTAAAGCTATGAAATGTGTGAGGAATGGTTGTGAAAAGCAGACCCAAAAGACCCCTTTTTATACCCAAAAACAAGGTGCAACGGTTGGGAGAAGATTGGGGTTGATTGGCTTGATTTGTGGAAATCAAATAAAACTGGATCTGCTGAAATCTAGCCCGACAGCGCTGTTCATATAGGAACATCGCTGTTTTGGCTTTGACTTTCCTTTAAAAATGGCTAACGGTCATCAAAACATCGATGTCTAGAAGTCTACATCGATGTTGGGGTGTTTGACTTTCAAAAATGGAAAGATTTTATCTTAAATAGCCCAACGGTCATTTGAAAACAGCGCTGTTCAACCATGAACATCGCTGTTCAAAAACTTACTGCCCAGGGCTTCGGAAGGCCAACATCGCTGTTGGGATTTCCGACATGCATGTTGGGATGGTTTGCCAGAACCATGGTTTGGCAGCCAACACTGAAAACCGATGTCTAAAACCAAAGTTCTCCAAAATGAAAACCAAGTGTTGGAAACTCTTATAAAATGTATTTAATGTAGAAACCAAGTATAAAAACTTAAAAACCACTTCATTAAGGTAAAAATCACGGCTAGCCAAGTTTATGTCGTTTCACATGGTTTTCACCAAAAGACCAAAAACGAAAGGTGGTTTTTAACATGTTTTTGTTTGAAAACCATTTTGATATGTCCAGAAGTAAAAAACAATCATAAAATATTAAAAACCACTTGATTGATTTGAGCGCCAAAAACCAACACCGATAACCGGCGCCGAAAGCCGATAACCAATGCCGAATAACAAAGGTTATGGTTTTTGAAAACTAATCATTTGGAAAACCTTTAAATGTGTCCAGAAGCATAAACCAAAGATAAAAACCCAAAAACCATTTGGTTAAAATCAATGCCAATAACCAATGCCGAAAACCGAACGCCATAGCCGAACGCTGATAACCGATGGTTATGGTTTTGGTTAAGCAAGAACCATGGGTTTTAGAAACTTAAAAACCATTTATGAAAACACTCATTTGATGCATGAAAAACATATTTTGTTTTGAGCCATGACGTAGAGAAATTGAATGAGCTTGTTACAATAAAACCTAAGTCTTTAGAATACGTCTTCAAAACGCCAATGTCGCCATCTTTAGCAGCGTCAATGCCTTTCTTGTTCTTTTTGTTTCTTCAAAGAACTTTTTCTATCTCTTTGAATTTTGTTCCATGTTCCCGACGGTTTGTCAATATCAAAACCTAAATGGAAACAAATATTGTCATTAGCAAAATGTCAAAGTAAAAATGTTTTCCAACAATTTCCCCTTTTTTCATAATGACAAACCAAGGAGGGGATATGCAAGCCAAGTTGGGTTTTCAAAGAGAGAGTAATGGTAATTCCCCCTACGTCTTTGAAAACAAGATTCCCCCTCACTTGTTGCATACCCAAACACTTTCCCCTTTTGGCATTAGCAAAAAGCACTAAGTAAAGTTTAAAAAAAAAGAAGTACTCCCTGAGCATTGATGTTTGATACAAAACATCATTGTTGTATGTTCCCCCCGAAACTGATACCATATTTATAGCAAAACCAATTCCCCCAAAATTCCCTTGATGCAAATTATTAGGTTTCGTGTTTCGAGCATCCACTACAAAAATGTAGTCTTCAAACACACGTACATATGCATCTAATAATTTTTAGGTACCAAAAAACTTTTGGGTCCTTGAGGGTTAGGAAAATAATAATCATAGCTATAAAACAAATCCCTATGTTTGGTAAAACAAACGGGTGCTATGTGTCCTATCTTAGAACAATAATGGCAAATTACATTTGGGTTATGCATATGCCTAGGTTGAGCCAAAAAATTTCTAGGTGATCTAAAGTCATTATTCCTAGAATTATTAATTAAGTTCCTAGACTCATTTCTAGGTTGCCTCAAATTATTTCTATCATTTATAAAAATCTTAGAATCATTTCTAGGTTGTCTCAACTTCTTATTTTTATTCTTTCTAAAATTAATTTTGTTATTCCTAGGATTATTTGTTCTTTTAGGTGGTTTATCATTATTAACTTCTTCACCAAGTTTCTTAGGTTCTTCTACCTTAAGTTTTTCTATGGTGCTCTTAAGTTCGACATTCTCTATTTTTAAAGACTCACAAGAGGAACAAGTAGAACTTTGGTCAAAGGAAGAAGCTTCATTCATTGCCTTAATTTTATTTTTGAGGTCAAAATTATCATTTTCCAAAAATTTATTTTCCTCTTCTAAAGCACGAAGTTTAGCCTTAGCCTCTTTGGCAATTTTTGAAGCTTTCTTGAATTCACCAAAAAGTTCTTTAAAAGCTTCTTGTAATTCTTCAAAAGAATGAGAGTTAGAAGTACTTACCTCTTCTTCTTCATTGGCCATGACGCAAATATGGGTTACTTCTTTTTCTCCTTGTAGAGTTTTGTATTTCTCACGAATGCCATCCCATAGATTCTTAGCCGTTTGATATCCAGAGAACTTTTGAATTTCTTGCGCGTCAATTGCACAAAGTAAAAGGTTAAGAGCTTTTGCATCTTGTTCCACCTTCTTGATATCTTCTTCATTGTATTCCTCCTCAAGTTTCTTTACTCTTTTCGTGCCCACCTTCTTTGTTGGGAGAGAAACTCCGTTGTTGATTGCCATCCATAGTGTGTAATCAACGGATTGAATGAAGATTCTCATTCTATCTTTCCAATAAGAGTAATTTACTCCATTAAAGAGTGGTGGCCTTGTTAAAGAGTGTCCTTCGCTAAAGGATCCTGCGCTCAACATTCTCAAAAGAAATATAGATCGTTCTCTCAACCCGTTAAGGCTTTTAGAGAGTTAGGCTCCGATACCAATTGTTAGAATAAGTGCCCTTCACTAGAGGGGGGTGAATAGTGAGGCACGAGAATGTTTATAAATTTTCGCGAAATAAAAAATCGCAAGGATAAAGTAAAGAGTGGAATAAAAAGCGTAAGGAGAGAACACACCGATTTTACCCTGGTTCACCACAACGTGTGGCTAGTCCAGCCTCCCGAGAGACTCTCTCGAGCTACACTATCAACGTTAAGCTTACGGGTGCTTAACAAACCGTTACAACCTGAGAACTCGACTCCCACGAGCCTCAATACACTTGCTCGGAGATACCGCACTCCAAGACTTGAACCCGAAGGAATATGCCCTTCCTTCGTACAACCAAGGGAACAAACCTCCCTTAAAGTGTTCACAACACTTAACCACTCAAGACCAAAAACTCTCTTAAAGAGTAGAATATGAGCAAACTAATTTAGATCAAGAACACACTCATTTCCTCAAGAAATAGCTCTAAAAAGCTATGTAAAAAGTTTATGGAATGATGCAATGTAAAGCTATGAAATGTGTGAAGAATGGTTGTGAAAAGCAGACCCAAAAGACCCCTTTTTATACCCAAAAACAAGGTGCAACAATTGGGAGAAGATTGGGGTTGATTGGCTTGATTTGTGGAAATCAAATAAAACTGGATCTGCTGAAATCTAGCCCGACAGCGCTGTTCATATAGGAACATCGCTGTTTTGGCTTTGACTTTCCTTTAAAAAAGGCTAACGGTCATCAAAACATCGATGTCTAGAAGTCTACATCGATGTTGGGGTGTTTGACTTTCAAATATGGAAAGATTTTGTCTTAAATAGCCCAACGGTCATTTGAAAACAGCGATGTTCAACCATGAACATCGCTGTTCAAAAACTTACTGCCCAAGGCTTCTGAAGGCCAACATCGCTGTTGGGATTTCCAACATGCAAGTTGGGATGGTTTGCCAGAACCATGGTTTGGCAGCCAACGCCGAAAACCGATGTCAAAACCCATAGTTCTCCAAAATGAAAACCAAGTGTTGGAAACTCTTATATAATGTATTTAATGTAGAAACCAAGTATAAAAACTTAAAAACAACTTCATTAAGGTAAAAATCACGGCTAGCCAAGTTTATGCCGTTTCACATGGTTTTCACCAAAAGACCAAAAACGAAAGGTGGTTTTTAACATTTTTGTTTGAAAACCATTTTGATATGTCCAGAAGTAAAAAACAATCATAAAATATTAAAAACCACTTGATTGATTTGGGCGCCAAAAACCAACACCGATAACCGACGCCGAAAGCCGATAACCAATGCCGAATAACAAAGGTTATGGTTTTTGAAAACTAATCATTTGGAAAACCTTTAAATGTGTCCAGAAGCATAAACCAAAGATAAAAACCCAAAAACCATTTGGTTAAAATCAATGCCAATAACCAATGCCGAAAACCGAACGCCATAGCCGAACGCTGATAACCGATGGTTATGGTTTTGGTTAAGCAAGAACCATGGGTTTTAGAAACTTAAAAACCATTTATGAAAACACTCATTTGATGCATGAAAAACATATTTTGTTTTGAGCCATGACGTAGAGAAATTGAATGAGCTTGTTACAATAAAACCTAAGTCTTTAGAATACGTCTTCAAAACGCCAATGCCGCCATCTTTAGCAGCGTCATTGCCTTTCTTGTTCTTTTTGTTTCTTCAAAGAACTTTTTTCAATCTCTTTGAATTTTGTTCCATGTTCCCGACGGTTTGTCAATATCAAAACCTAAATGGAAACAAATATTGTCATTAGCAAAATGTCAAAGTGAAAATGTTTTCCAACATCTAGTTCGCCTTGATCTACCAACAAGACGTCACCTTCATCAGACATGAGAAATCCATATCTGACCGGAGGATTACGTATCCGGTCTGACCTACGTGGTATATCTTGAGCAATTTGAGGTTCAATTGCTTGATCTCTTTGCTCAGGTTTCTACACTATCAGGACTTCTTCTTGTGGTTCTCGAGTTTCTTCGAGGTCTACCTTTCTCTCACTAGTGATAGCAGAGAGAAACTCCTTCTCAAGGAAGGTTCCATTCCGAGCAACGAAGATTTTGTTATCGGGTGGATGATAGAACTCATACCCTCTAGTTTCCTTGGGGTATCCCACAAAAATTACTTTATCAGATTTAGGCTCCAACTTACTAGACGTCATGAGACGTTTTACATAAGCTTCACAGCCCCAAATCTTAAAGTACGAGAAGCTCGGTTTTCTCCCACGCCATATTTCGTATGGTGTGCTCTCGACAGCTTTAGATGGAACTCTGTTGAGTGTGTGTGCTGCTGTTTTTAATGCATATCCCCAAAATGATTCTGGCAATGTTGTCAGACTAATCATGCTTCGGACCATGTCAAGCAAAGTCCGATTTCTCCTCTCAGACACTCCATTTAACTGAGGTGTCCCTGGAGGAGTGAGTTGGGATAAGATCCCATGCTCTTTCAGATAGTCATCGAAGTCCAGGCTTAGGTATTCACCTCCTCGATCCGAGCGGAGGGTCCTAATACTTTTGCCTAATTGTTTTTCTACTTCGTTCCTGAATTCTTTGAATTTGTCAAAGCATTCCGATTTGTGTTTCATGAGATACACATATCCATATCTACTGAGCTCGTCAGTAAATGTAACGAAGTAAGAATAACCACCTCTAGCTACAGTTCTAATTGGACCACACACATCGGAGTGTATGAGGCCCAATAAGTCACTAGCCCTTTCACCATGACCGGTGAATGGAGCCTTTGTCATTTTACCAAGTAAACAAGATTTACATACATCATATGACTGGAAGTCAAATGAATCAAGTACACCGGAACGATGTAACTTAGATATGCGTTTCTTGTTAATGTGGCCCAAACGACAATGCCAAAGGTATGCGAGATTCAAACTGTTAGGTTTGTTTCTCTTAACATCTACGTTATATATTGCAGTATCCATGTCAAGGACATAGAGACCGTTGGTCATTTTTGTAGTTGCATAAAATATATCATTTCTAAAGACAAAGAGTTTTGTCTTTTACAACGAATGAAAATCCTGCTTTGTCAAGGCAGGATACAGAAATGATGTTTCTGCTCATACTAGGTACAAACAGACATTTATTTAACTGCATTATAAGACCACTAGGTAGAGATAAACTATAGGTTTCGACGGCCAATGCATAGACAAGTGCGCCATTGCCGACTTTTAGTTGTATCTCTCCCTCCGTCAATTGTCTATATTCATGCAAGTCTTGCATAGAAGTACTAATGTGAGAACCACATCCAGTATCCATAACCCAAGAGGTGATATCAGACATATTGACTTCGATAACGTAAATACCTAAATTTTGTGGCTGGCCCTGGTAAAGGTCTCTCAAGCATTGTATTATAGGACGCACTTCCATGTCCGCGTGGAGCCTTTGGAGCTCTGCGGTCATACTGGCCATAATGATACGCTTTACATCTCGCGCGTCGTCCTCATACTTTTGAAAGAAGTGAGTTCGGACGCACGAGCATTGGCATCAGGGGTCTTGGGAGGATACGTTTCGAGGATGTAGAGTTTCCTCTCACAGTTAAGAACGATTCGGAGGTTCATCTCCTAGTCAAGAAAGTTGGTCCCGGATAACTTGTTGTTTTCCAGGATGTAACGCAAGTTGAAAGGGTTGTTGTTGTTTGCCATCTACAGAAAATTTTGCAAACTAGGTTATCTATCATGTGTAATAATTAATTAGGCCTTTAATTAATTATCTCCCACTATTTTTAACAAATCAATAACCCTCGATATTGATTCAGAGATTTCCGCCAAAACCTCTAGTGGGCCTAGATCCATATTTCATTATCTTGCGTTCCGCTTGGGCGTTACTCCACCAGACAACTATTTAGGTAGGAACATAGTTCCAACTGATGAGCCGGGCTCTCAGCTCTTGGTCTGGTGTTGGGCGAACAATATTACTACAACCGGACCATGACACCTTTTCACCATACTTGTAATTGGCTGAGGCACGTCTTACAAGCAGACTACTTTGGTTAGGAATAGAGTTCCAATTAAATCATAAAGATCCAACTCCTGGCTGGACGAGTGAGTAAAATCATCCGACTTGTCATTGATGACCCCAACTTACTGCCTCTGAGTCGTCCATCCATTTGACCGAGACTCAGTTAAGTCTAACCCAACGTGCAACAGCGACCACGCTATGGCGGTTCCCGTAACCCGCTTAACATACACCGTATTATGCTCTGCTGAGGCTGAGTACATGACAGTGCACATTAGCCGGATAGGTGCCGGGCGTCAAAAGGGAACAGACTTAATATTTGTGAGGGATTTATAATTTCGATCTCACCTATCGACATGGCCGCGCACATGTCCATTACTAGCGTTTAACATACATTCAACATGCATTCACAAAACGCAGTAAATAAACGAGTACAGATTGTGGCCCCTAAATGAAAAATAAAACGATAGCTCCCACTGGCTTCCGGGCACTTGGACTTCGGGCTATATCCATTCTTTTAGATTTCCCCAAACGGTCATCAAATCTTTTCGTTTTCTAACCACCACGTGAGAAAAGAATCCTCGGTTGAGGAAAGAGAGAGAAATAGATTTACAACAAGAGTTTAAGAAATAAGGCACGACACGCAGGCCGTATTATAATCAAATAAACTATAGCCACAATCATCCACCATGCATATCATACATCCACACAGGCAAAAGAGATATACATACACCGGGTGAACCGCGCTCACCCCAGACAGTTCTAGAAAAATACTACGACACTATATATTTTCTAAAACTCATAAAATTAAATTAGATGTCCAAATAAATCTAATAAAATTTTATAAAAATCATTTTATGCATTCTGGATATTCTGCCAGCATAAAAAAATCCAGAATATTCCAATTGACCAAAATTCCCTTTTTTTTGCAAAATTATTTTCAACAAGGCAATAGAATTTCAAAACAATTTTGCAAAAATCATGAAAATTAAATTTCGACTTCCAGTAGTTATTTTTAACATTTATAAACCTGGAAATAAAATTTCCAAAATTTATCAATCATTATTTCCAAAATATATTAGTTAAATCTCAATAAGTTATAAAAGGCCATTTAAATTATTTTCGAAAATATTAAATTATAAAAATTTAATATTTTAAAAAACATTCTTTTTCTTACCGAGATATAACTTTACAAAATATATATTAGTCATTTATGTAATTAAAATACAAATATATAAATATATATAATATTTCAGTAATAATACCGATTAAATATATAAATATATATTTATTTAATTACTAACTAATATTATTTTGTACAATATATTTTTCAACAACCTTATTCAACTTAGAAATAATATTTCTAAGTTTAATAAAGTTCATTTTTAATTTTCCCATATTTATTTTTGGTTTTCACCTAAATAAATACAATAAATTCAAAATAGGAAATTATACATTCAAAAATTACAATATAATTTTATCAATCATAAAATGATGTTTTATGTCCAAATAAAATTATATTTCTTATTTATACAATATATATAAATATATATTTACAAAAATCAAAATATATGTATTTATATATATATTACGGGTAGAAATAAAATAAATAAATTTAAAATTCATTTTCAATGATTTATTTAAGTCCAATACTTATTCCAAGACTAAATAAAATCATTTTACCATTTTTTGAATTTTAATAATTACCAAGTTAAAACTTTGACTTTTAAAATTTTAAAAGTCAAACGTAAAACTATAGTTTTTGTACGTAGGCTCTGATACCACTAAAAGGTGAGCATGCAAAGATAGGCAGCGGAATATAAAAATTTTAAACCATCCTAACATGATTATCTTGCCCAGAATCACGTACTAAAACTTATAGTAGTAAGAAATTTATACCTTTCTCCGTAAGCGGTAAAAACGAAGAAGTCGTAGGAAGAGCGTTGAAAGTGCAGACGTAACCGTTCAAGCGTCCGGTCTCCAACTTTGGCACAAGAACAACGCCGGAGTCAACCACAATCTTTATGCTAGTAAAGATTATAGTAGTATAAAATATAAAGATTAAAATTGAGATAATAATAATCTTGTATATTTCTTATAGAAAATATTTCTAATAATATTTTGTAAATATTATAGATATTTTCTATACACAAAATGATATTAATTGAACACTTAAAATAACATTTCTTCTCTCTAGAAAAATATGGCCGAATGACACACTTTTAAAAATCCACTACACAAATTGATAATCTTCTCACCTTTTTAAATTGCCATTGTCGTGTATCAATTAAGTAGAAAACAAAACATTACAAAGTGATTAATCAAACTTTGTCATTTAGCTAAAGGATAAAATAACTAGCTACTTAATTATCAATCAAAGAAAACATTAGCAATTTGTCAACCCATTTTATCATATGACCGAAAGTTTTGATTTGAGAAGGATATTTAAAATCCTTCTCTACTCAAATGTTCAAAGTGTATTTTATTTGACATCAAAAAATTAATATAAAAATAATTTTAAATCAAATAAAATTACCAATATCATTTTAAACAAGTATACAAATATACTTTAAATAGTTTATGTCAAAATAATTATTTTCATAGTTAAAATGAAAAATCAAAATAAAATATTCAACATATAATATATATATATATATTCATCGGCACATATATATAATATATATAACCGAATATTTATATATATATATATATAATATTACATTCCAAAATATTCTATTTTACTATTTTTACAAATATAAAAAAAATATACAAATTACTTATTATCCCATTGTTTAACCCTACTCCTTAAATTGTCCAAAGTGTGTGACCCGTATAGGCACTTATAAAGCTGGCCACAGTATTGGCTCTGTAACGCCCCAAAATATACCCTAAAACTTATTGAATTAAATATTAAATTAATCAAATTTGTTTTGATTAAAATAAATTATTGTTGGCCTTTGGGCCGAAATAAAATGTGTTTTGATATCCAATATCATAATCAGGATAAATCTCATAGAGGTAAATCCAACGTGTTGACTTATTGTGTGATCTTATTTGGGAACCTGGGTAGAGACCAAAATTAAGAGTAATAGAGAATTTGTTTATTAAATGAACTTTGAAATGAATTCTTGAAATAAACCATGAGAATAAATTTAATGTGAGAACCTTTTATGATAAAAGTCAATTAAACCAATTTTGACTCTGTCAAAGTCAAACATCCAAAAATATGATGTTGGAAAAAGTATTACAAGTAAATATAAAAAGTATATCATTAAATAGAATTTGACTGTCTGATCACAACGGTGCAAATGGAATTCAATTCGGAGAAAGTTGGACCAAAAAGTGTACCCCGACTGGGACTAAAATTAGTCCCAATCAGGGACCGAGCCTCCTACTCCACTCAGCCGATCGAAGATACGTTCCTACGCAAATCCTACGCAGCATTGTTTGGTTTCTTCCTCCATTCCTTCCCTATATAAGACCACATTCACTCCCTCAATTCTCCATCATTTCTCACAATTCTAATATCAATTCTGTTGCTGGGAGTGAGGAGAACGCAGTGGTGCTATCATATTGGTGAAAGGTCGCCGGAGTTGGGAGTAATCGTCGCCGGAAGTTTTACTGGAAAATATTCAAAACCTTCATTTACCTTCGAGGTAAGCCCGTACATATATCTAGTGACTAGAATGTTCGTATAGATTGTTTCTACGTTCATAAACGGTCGTTTGGTTGAGTTTTGTGTTTGACATGCTTGAAGAACCAAGAATCATAAACCATGAAATTGATGTTAAAACTATGAATTAATGATTCCAAAATGATCTATGAACCTTGGAGAACATCTCTATATAGTTTCGTTGAAGTTCGATAACTAAAAACGGTATTTCCAAAATTGGACCCGAACGAAGAAGAAGATGAGCAGTGGCTGAAACACCACTGTCGGGATCGATCCAGGGGCTTGGATCGATCCCCTGGGAGTGATTTTTCATATTTTGGATCGATCCAGAGGGCTGGATCGATCCCTTGAAGTTCTGATCCGAAAATTTGCCCGAAATTGCTATTTTTGAGCTCTAAAATCCTATTTTTGATACCAATTGGTTATAATTATTTTAAGGATAATTATTTACAATAAAAATGATGTTTTTAACAAATAAAAATGTTATGTGATGCATGACGGTAAGTTCGGGTGTTAACACTCGAAACTAGACCGCTATTTGTTATCAATTGATATGTTGATTGATGATTATGATGAATGATTATTATGGATGATTATGAGTAATGAACTTACTGATCAAAATTATTATTTATGATTGAACCATGAGTAAAATGAATATATTGATAATTATTAAACGATTTGTATTCTTAACGTTATCTAGAAGAACTCTAAGATATACCCATTAGTTAATGTATGTTAAGGCTATCTAGAAGACCTCTAGAATAGATCTTGTATTAGAATAGACTTATGAAAACATGAATATTTGATGAATTAGATAAAAATGTATAAACAGGATTCGTAGACCAACCTAGAGGATTACTCGTTTGGGAATGTCTGATCCAATGTTGATCAATTGCTATATTGTTGTTGCCTAAACCGACTACGGTTAGGTGTCCGAATCGTTTGCCTTAAACTAGTGATAGTTTAAGTGTCTGATTGCCTTAACTGACTACAGTTAAGTGTCCGAAATCAATTGCCTTAAACTAATGATAGTTTAAGTGTCTGATCAATAATTGCCTTAAAAGAATCTGGTTATGGAAATTATGATTTGGCCTTAGACTAGGAATAGCTAAGAGCATTATTATGATCTGGCCTTAGACTAAGAATAGCTAAGAGCATTACTATGATCTGACCTTAGACTAAGAATAGCTAAGAGCATTATTATGAACTGGCCTTAGACTAAGAATAGCTAAGAGCGTTGTTATGATCTGGCCTTAGACTAAGAATAGCTAAGAGCATTGTTATGATCTGGCCTTAGATTAAGAATAATTTAAGAGCACTATTGAAATAGTATCTGAATTGAATAAATACTTTAGTCCGAATGGGGCTACAGACCTGGACGGATTAGGGTGTTACAATTTGGTATCGGAGCAATGTGAGGCCGGAGACAGATATCTTTCTAATCTGTATGGTATGGGACATAGAGCTTGGTAAGGTACATGTAGCCGGTGGAGGTAGATATCTCTCTAATCTATGTGGCATGGGACACACAGCTTGGGGAGATACATACAGCCTGTAACACCCCGGCCCCCACCCTAGCCGTAAGTGTTCGCTCATAGGATTGTAGACTAACCCCACAAACCAACACAAGCCTTTCCCGCGCACTTTGTCCTCACTAGTGCGCGCCCAAGGAATTTCCCAGGGGGTCACCCATCCTAAAATTGCTCCAGGTCAAGCACACTTAACTTTGGAGTTTCTAGGTGATGAGCTCCCAAAAAGAAGATGCACCTTGTTGTTATGAGTAGTACTATCAATCCTTTTGAGCCCTTCCATTCCCATCTTGATACGGGGTATTACACAGCCAACTCATGATCCTTAGGAACCCTCGCGCGTGAACGGTGGCAAAGCGTTACTCCCCGCCTAAGGGCTCAAGCAATTGAGTGCGTTGATAGGATCAAATTGTAGCCACATAGATGTGTTACAATTTGGTATCGGAGCAAATGATTTTGTTTAGTAATTTTCGGAATTACTGTTTGGGGTATTTTTATATTATTCTTATTAAGTAGTTTATGTGTAGAATACTTGTTATTTGTGCCATAAATACTTAATATTTATGAAAATTAGATTTTATATTTTCTGGGAAGTATTTGACATGTCAATATAACTCAGAAATTTTAAAATCGATTTTTGGAATTAATTTCCTATTTTTCTATTTTTAAATTCGTTTATTGAATAGAAAATAGGAAAACTTATTTTTGACGATCAAAAATTAATTTTAATTCATAATAAGTTGCGACCAGAGACTTTAAGCTTGTATAAAAATTTTCATAATTTTTAAACACGTAAAAATATTTATTTTGTATTTTTGAAGTAATTGGACCGGTACTATTCACTAGTCCGATTTGTAATTATTTTAAATTGCAACATTAATATTTTAAATTCTATAAAAATCATATTCTGGTTCTGGAACTTATCTTTGACTTGGAAAATAAATTTTTATAGTTTTGGAATTTCGAAATATATTTTCACAATATAATTTCGGTTTTCTAGCT